GCCAAAATCCCCAAAAAATGGGTCCTGGCTCATGGATTCATCCCAAAATTTCCCAAATTCCCCAAATCTCTGGAAAAAGGGTCCTGGACCATGGATTCATCCCAAAAATCCCAAAATTCTTGGCCAAAAATCCCAAAATTCCCGGAAAAATGGTCCTGGCTTGTGGATTCATCCCAAAAATCCCGGAATCCCTGGAAAAATGGTCCTGGCTTGTGGATTCATCCCAAAAATCCCTGAATCCCTGGAAAAATGGTCCTGGCTTGTGTATTCATCCCAAAAATCCCCGAATCCCTGGAAAAGTGGTCCTGGCTTGTGGATTCATCCCAAAAATCCCCGAATCCCTGGAAAAAGGGGCTCCTGGCTCCCATTCCCACCCGGAATTCTCCACATCCAGCCCCCCCCCAATCCCATTCCCGGCCTTTCCCAGCCGGGATGGGGAATTTGGGATGAATTCCGGCGGAATCCCGACACGGATCTTTCCGGAATCCCGACACGGCTCCGGCGGGGATTCCCACGGAATGAATTCATCCCGAACATCCCCGGCGCGGCCGGGAACGTGATCCCGATGAAAAGCCGGGAGCTGACGGCTTCATCCAGGCCCCGATTCCCGGGAAAACAGCCGGGAAAGGCTCGGAAGGGCGGGAAAAGAGCCCGGGGATTATCCCGGATTATCCCGGATGGAGCCGCCAGCATCGGAGCATCGGGAAAAGCTTCCCAAAAATTATCCCGGATTTTTTTCCCAACGGATCAAATCTCCTGGATAATTCCCAGCACAGCCTCAGAATTTTGGGAAAAGCTCCCAAAAAATTATCCCGGATTTTTTTCCCAACGGATAAAATCCCCTGGATAATTCCCAGCACAACCCTGGAATTTCGGGAAAAGCTCCCAAAAAATTATCCCGGATTTTTCTCGATGGATAAAAATATTCGGATGATTCCCAGCACAGCCTCGGAATTTCGGGAAAAATTCCCAAAAATTATCCCGGATTTTTTTCCCAATGAAAAAAAATCTCCTGGATAATTCCAAACACAACCCTGGAATTTCGGGAAAAATTCCCAAAAAATTATCCCGGATTTTTCTCAATGGATAAAAATATTCGGATGATTCCCAGCACGGCCTCGGAATTTCGGGAAAAGCTCCCAAAAATTATCCCGGATTTTTTTCCCAACGGATCAAATCTCCTGGATAATTCCCACATTGGTCTTGGAATATTGGGAAAAATTCCCAAAAAAATCATCCCGGATTTTCCCAACGGATCAAATCTCCTGGATAATTCCCAGCACAACCTTGGAATTTCGGGAAAAATTCCCAAAAAATTATCCCGGATTTTTCTCAATGGATAAAAATATTCAGATGATTCCCATCACGGCCTCGGAATTTCGGGAAAAATTCCCAAAAAAATTATCCCGGATTTTCCCAACGGATCAAATCTCCTGGATAATTCCCAGCACAACCCTGGAATTTCGGGAAAAGCTCCCAAAAAATTATCCCGGATTTTTCCAATGGATAAAATCTCCTGGATAATTCCCAGCACAGCCTCAGAATTTCGGGAAAAATTCCCAAAAAATTATCCCGGATTTTTTTTCCAATGGAAAAAATCTCCTGGATAATTCCCACATTGGTCTTGGAATATCGGGAAAAATTCCCAAAAAAATTATCCCGGATTTTTCTCAATGGATAAAAATATTCGGATGATTCCCATCACGGCCTCGGAATTTCGGGAAAAATTCCCAAAAAAATTATCCCGGATTTTTTTCCCAACGGATAAAATCTCCTGGATAATTCCCACATTGGTCTTGGAATATTGGGAAAAATTCCCAAAAAAATCATCCCGGATTTTTCCAATGGATAAAATCTCCTGGATAATTCCCAGCACAGCCTCGGAATTTTGGGAAAAGCTCCCAAAAAATTATCCCGGATTTTTTTTCCAATGGAAAAAATCTCCTGGATAATTCCCAGCACAACCCTGGAATTTCGGGAAAAATTCCCAAAAAATTATCCCGGATTTTTCTCAATGGATAAAAATATTCGGATGATTCCCAGCACAGCCTCGGAATTTCGGGAAAAATTCCCAAAAAAATTATCCCGGATTTTTTTCCCAACGGAAAAAATCTCCTGGATAATTCCCACATTGGTCTTGGAATATTGGGAAAAATTCCCAAAAAAATTATCCCGGATTTTTCTCAATGGATAAAAATATTCGGATGATTCCCAGCACAGCCTCAGAATTTCGGGAAAAATTCCCAAAAATTATCCCGGATTTTTCCAACGGATCAAATCTCCTGGATAATTCCCACGTTTGCTTTGGAATTTCGGGAAAAGCTCCCAAAATTCCTCCCGGATTTTTCCCAACTCTCGAACCCTCCCACGGCACCGGGAAAATTCCCCGGAAAAAAAAAGAAAAATTCCCTGCGGATTTTTCCATTGGAAAAGGCGAGCTGGGAAATCCGGGAAGCTCCGGAGGGCCGCGCTAATGACTTTAATTAGGGCGGGTAATTAGCGGCAGCCAGAATTAAAGGCATTTTGCATATGCAAATGAGCTCGGGGCCGCTTTGGATTCCCGGAACAAAAAGCGGGATCCTGGAGCTTTGTTCCCGATTTTTTTTTTTTCCCCACCCCCCCCTTTGGAAAAGCCAAACATTCCCGAGTCAATTCCTGGTTTTTGGGAATTAACCAAAAATTAAAATAAAAAAAAAAGGGAAACAAAAAAAAAAAATCCCTTTGGAATATCCCAAATCCCAGGGATTTGCTCCGGGTTTTTCCCGCTTTTCCCGGGAATTTGGAATTCCCCAAATCCCGTCTTTATTCCCCCTCGTTTTCCAAGGATCCGGAGGGGAAACTGAGGCAGGGCCGCAGGCGCAGGGAGGGATTGGAGGCGATTTGGGAATTCCCAAAAAACATTCCCGGATTTCCCAGCTCGCCTTTTCCAATGGAAAAATCCGCAGGGAATTTTTCTTTTTTTTCCCGGGGAATTTTCCCGGTGCCGTGGGAGGGTTCGAGAGTTGGGAAAAACCCGGGAGGAATTTTGGGAGCTTTTCCCGAAATTCCAAAGCAAACGTGGGAATTATCCAGGAGATTTGATCCGTTGGGAAAAATCCGGGAGGAATTTTGGGAGCTTTTCCCGAAATTCCAAAGCAAACGTGGGAATTATCCAGGAGATTTGATCCGTTGGGAAAAAAATCCGGGAGGAATTTTCTTTTCGGGAAGGTTTTCCCAGCTGGGAATTCCGGCCTGTGGAGTTGGGGAGGGATTGAGGGAATTCCTGTTGGGATTGGGAAAAATCCGGGATAATTTTAGGAGCGGGAGTTGATTCCAGCCGGGATTGGATCCAACGGCTCCCGGATCATTCCCGATCCTTTTCCCTTCTCCCAGGAATTCCAGAGCCTTCCCTGAGCCGGGATGAGCGAATGGGAACCCTCGGGAATTCGGGAATTCCGGGATGAGCGAATGGGAACTCTCGGGAATTCGGGAATTCTGGGATGAGTGACTGGGAACTCTCGGGAATTCGGGAATTCTGGGATGAGCGAATGGGAACTCTCGGGAATTCGGGAATTCCGGGATGAGCGAATGGGAACTCTCGGGAATTCGGGAATTCCGGGATGAGCGACTGGGAACTCTCGGGAATTCGGGAATTCCGGGATGAGTGACTGGGAACCCTCAGGAATTCGGGAATTCTGGGATGAGCGAATGGGAACTCTCAGGAATTCGGGAATTCTGGGATGAGCGAATGGGAACTCTTGGGAATTCGGGAATTCTGGGATGAGTGACTGGGAACTCTCGGGAATTCAGGAATTCCGGGATGAGTGACTGGGAACTCTCGGGAATTCGGGAATTCTGGGATGAGTGACTGGGAACTCTCGGGAATTCGGGAATTCCGGGATGAGCGAATGGGAACCCTCGGGAATTCGGGAATTCCGGGATGAGCGAATGGGAACCCTCGGGAATTCGGGAATTCTGGGATGAGCGACTGGGAACTCTCGGGAATTCGGGAATTCCGGGATGAGTGACTGGGAACTCTCGGGAATTCGGGAATTCTGCTCTCTCTGGGAGCAGCCTGGGATTGGAGCCTCGCTCATTCCAAACTCTGGGAATTCCGGAGGTTCCGGCAGCTCCCAACTTCCCGGGGGTCCCATCCCGGAGCTCCTCAGGCATCCCGGAATTCCAGAGGCTCCTCAGGCATCCCGGAATTCCAGAGGCTCCTCAGGGATCCCGGAATTCCAGAGGCTCCTCAGGCATCCCGGAATTCCAGAGGCTCCCTGCTCCCGGAATTCTCCTGGATCCCTGCTCCCATTATCCCGGATCCCGGTATCCCTCCCTGGATCCCTGCTCCCGGTATTCCAGCGGATCCCGGTATTCCAGAGGCTCCCCGCTCCCGGTATTGACCCGGATCCCTGCTCCCGGTATCCCTGATCCCGGTGGATCCCGGTGGATCCCGGTGGATCCCGGTGCTCGCCGCTCCCGGCATTCCCGCGGCTCCCGCTGGATCCCGGCCATGCCCGGGGTGAGTCACGGGAATGCCGGGAGCGGACGGACGGACCGGGAGCGCCGGGAACACCGGGAATGCGGCCCGGGATGGATCGGGAGCACCGGGAATGGACCGGGAATGCAGCCTTGGAATGGACCAGGAACACCGGGAACACCGGGAATGCAGCCCGGGATGGACCAGGAATGGACCGGGAATGGACCGGGAATGAACACCGGGAACGGATCTCTGGGGATGGACCGGGAATGTGGACCGGGATGGACCGGGAATGGACCGGGAACAGCGGGAATGGACCGGGAACAGCGGGAATGTGGAAGCGGCCGGAATGGGGGAGGGGGGAACCCAGCGGGGGACTGGGAGCCACTGGTTTGTACTGGGACACCCCCAGCTCACCGAGAGCCCCGCTCATCCCCAACCGCGCCGGCACCGGCATCCCCCCGGTGACCCCCGGTGTCCCCCCGGTATCCCCCGGTCCCCTCCCGGTGTCCCCCCAGTCTCTCCTGGTCCTCCCGGTACCCCCGGTGTCACCCTGGTCCTCTCCCGGTGTCCCCAGGGTGTCCCCCCGGTCTCTCGTGATCCTCCCGATCCTCTCCCGGTACCCCCGGTGTCCCCCCGGTCCTCTGCCAGTGTCCCCCAGTGTCTCCCAGTGTTCCCCCGGTCCTCTCCCGGTGTCCCCCAGGTCCCCTCCCGGTACCCCCCGGGTGTCCCCGCTCTCCCCGATCCCCTCCCGGTATCCCCGGTCCTCTCCTTGTCCCCCTGATCCTCTCCCGGTGTCTCCCCGGTCCTCCCGGTGTCCCCAGGGTGTCCCCCCCAGTCCTCTCCTGGTCCCCCTGGTCCTCTCCCAGTGTTCCCCAGTGTCCCCCTGGTGTCCCCCAGGTCCTCTCCCGGTGTCCCCCCGGTGTCCCCCCGGTGTCACCTGCAGGTGTAGCTGAGGTTCCTGCGGATGCTGCGTTTGAAGAAGCTCTTGCAGCCCTCGCAGGTGAACACCCCGTAGTGCTTCCCGCTGGATTTATCCCCGCACACCACGCAGTCCGCGCCGGCCCCGGGCCGCTCCTCCTCGCCGTGCTCCGCGTCGCTGCCGCCGCCACCGGGGGACGCCGCCTCCTCCGCTCCTCCGCCGCCGCCGGCCCCGGTGCCACCGGCTCCGCCGCCGTTCGGTTCGCCCCAAGCGCCGGCCACCATGGCCATGGCTCCGCGGGGCTCGGCGGGGCTCAGCGCCGCATGGAGCGGAGCCTCGCGGTGCTGCCGGTTCTCCTGCCGGTGCTGCTTCTGCTCCCGGTTCTCCTCCCGGTGCTGCTTCTCCTCCTCCCGGTACTGGTTCTGCTCCCGGTTCTTCTCCCGGTGCTGGTTCTGCCCCTGCCGGTGCTGCTTCTGCTCCCGGTTCTTCTCCCGGTGCTGGTTCTGCCCCTGCCGGTGCTGCTTCTGCTCCCGGTTCTCCTCCCGGTGCTGCTTCTGCTCGCGGTTCTTCTCCCGGTGCCGCTTGTCCACCTCGCGGTTCTTCTCCCGGTGCTGCTGCTGCTCTTCCCGGTGCTGGTTCTGCTCCCGGTTCTTTTTCCTCCTCCCGGTTCTTCTCCCGGTTCTCCTCCCGGTTCTTCCCTTCCCGGTGCTGCTGCTGCTCCCGGTTCTTCCTTTCCCGGTTCTTCCTTTCCCGGTTCTTCCTCTCCCGGTTCTTCCTCTCCCGGTTCTTCTCC